TAAAATTTCCGTGTAAAACAAATCATGCCTACTGTTACGAAATAAGTAGAAAGTTATGCGACAACTAAACTGTTCTGGGACCTACGCTGTTTACGGACGTCAACTTTATCACAGACTCGCTTGTTGTATTTAGGTCGATCATTTCACTTATATCTTGGCCAATTTTTTAGCTCATATAATATATTCCCTTTTTTACAGCACAGCCTGGCTTGGTCTTTGCTTTATTGCCTCCTCGCAATGTGGCGCCAATCTGATTAGCCGACTTGGTAGATCCTCAAAGCCTGAGCCCCCGCAGCCTATAATCACCTGGTGCGTCGTGCGCACGGGTCGCCTCTACCATATTTCGCCTCTGCTACCTCGTCAGACTCTCTGCCTCTCACCAAAGCTCGACCGCGGCAACCTGACGCCCACTGAGAACACCGGGGATTTGACAGACCCTAAGCCCGCTTTTGCCAACCTGCCATCTCGAAAGATCTCAGCACCCCCCATCTCAGACAAGGAGCGGAACGCCCTATTTTGTGCAACTTGTGGTTAGTTGATCCCCTTTTTCTTCCTGCACTGAGAAGCCGCAAGGTCAACCACTTAACCCTAAAATGCCAAACCTTTTTGTTCGTTTTGCGTAGAACAAACGCAGGAGCTTTTTGAACAGCGATACGGCCCAATGGTGTGCTCTGACTCTCACCACCCCCCAAAAAATGCTCATCAGCTGTCCTTGAACACCACCTCGAGTCTGCCTCGTCCAACTTCTCGTTGGTTTAGCCAGTTTCCCTCCGGCAACGCGACCCCCTCTGTTCTCCGACCCGCTTTTAACATCTTTAAGGCGCTGTCTATTAAGTCACGTGGCTGTAGGGGTGCCTGTTCCAAGTCGAGCGGGAGCTCTAACCAGGCACCTGAACAACTGCGGCAGGCACTGGCGGGAATAGGCGGCAAGGATGAGGTCACTGTGACGACAGCGACCAACAACACGCCCAATGAGGGCTCCATTGACAACCTGAGTGCGCAGGAGGCGGCGACAGTCCAGGGCATGCGACAGGTGGTCAGCGACGGCCGTCTTGAGGATGCACAACAACAACTGTCTGCTTGGTCT